GTGTATATGTAAGAATGAGATGTACTATTGTATTGATTAATGGACATTGGATTCAACCCACGGTGCCTTACGTTAATCGCTGTTTCTGTAATGTAACCACTATTGTTAGTTGTAATATTAAGTTTACAGTTCCTATATGGACTATACAACATTTAAAAGCCTATCCTGAGCTCTACAAGGAGGTTTCCCCCATTTCACTGGGAATGGGTCTCACTGCCATTAAGGGACTATTAACTCATCCCTCCTTACAAACTGAGCGGCAGAACTTTTGGGGAGAATGGCAAACTCGAGATTCAACACCACAACCAGGATATCTCTAGGCTAGCAGCCACAGTTAAAAACGCAGGCCATCGCTCCTGATGGGAGACTTTGCTTGGGTGGAGTCCCAGTGCAACAGGTCTTTTGAATATCATGCTTCACCCCATTGTAGTGATCATCGGTTTCCAAATTATACTAGCAATTGGTCTGGCTCTACTGGTTTGCTGGATCCAGCAACTGATGTGGTGGCTGCAATGGATTGAAGATCAGACAGAGTAAGGATGTGATGGGGATACTCGCTCATCACGAGCACCCCATCAACAGGGGGACTCGTTACCTAGCAACTCTGTGTTCTTGGGGAACCAGGGCACAGTACCTAGCCCATCTGACTCACGAAAGACACCCCCGCCCCAGCCTCTACTTGAACCAAATCTGCATCAGAAGAAAGACTTACAAAAAGCAATGAAAAGGCAGTGGGAGACACAACTAAACCCCTGGGATAACATGACAGGATTAAGGAAACTCCCCTAGCCTCATTTGTATCGAAGATGGGACAAGGAGGCAACTCCATTGGCATACAGAATGGAGAACAGAGATTCCAAGGCAAGAACTGCACGGAACTCTGGGACCAGAAAAGCAGGGAAGCGTTGCATGATGGGGGATCTCTGCTCCAGATGTTAATGAACCTACGCCTGCACACACTCAGCTCAGTAGTTATCAGACCAATTCTAGTAACGAATCCTTTATTGGTATCCAAAATAGTGAAGCTCCCTAATTGCATTGTGAGCTCCCTCCAATGAACACCGCCCAAAGCCAGGAATGATCAGCTCCCATGTCTAGCCTGAACAAAACAACTTTGGTATTTTCCCTTGTTTACACATAAACAAATCTAGTGTTCTCCCTTGAACCATTTATGTTTCTCTACAACAGGCCTGCATGACATGTGGCCCGGGAGCTGCATGTGGCCCGCGTGGGTTCACTGTGTGGCCCGCGGGGGGGTGAGTAGGCAAGCGGCGGGTGAGGGAGGGGGCCTGAGTAGGTGAGCGGGCGGGCAGTGGCGGGGAATGAGTAGGCGAGCCGGGCAGGTGGAGGGCTGAGGAGGCGAGCGGACGGGCAGTGGCGGGGGGCAGGTGAGCCGGGGGGAGTGGGGGGCTGAGGAGGCGAGCGGACGGGCAGTGGCGGGGGGGCAGGTGAGCCGGCGAGCCGGAGGGGTGGGGGGGCTGAGGAGGCGAGTGAGCAGGCAGTGGCGGCAGGTGAGTAGGCGAGCCGTGGGAGGGGGGGTGAGGAGGCGAATGGTGAGTTGGTGGCTGACCTGTTCTACTGATCTGGTCTGGCTCCCATCCCCTCTCCCAGGGCCAGCTCCAGGCACCAGCAAAACAAGCAGGTGCTTGGGGCGGCACATTTCTAGGGGCGGCATTCTGGCGCTGGCCATCATAGGTGCCGACTCCGGGGCATGGGGAAAAAGTGCCCTCGCCACCCCAGCTCGCCTCCGCCTGCTCCCCTGAGCATGCCGCCGCAGCTCCGCTTCTCCCCCCTCCCTCCCAGGCTTGCCACGTGCGAAACCGCTATTTCGTGCAGCAAGGCTGGGAGGGAGGAGAAGCCGAGCGGCGGGCACTCAGGGGAAGCGGTGGTGGTGGAGCAGAGGTGAGCTGGAGCGGGGAGCGGTTCCTCTACGCCCCCCATTACTTCCTGCGGCCCCCCACCCTAGCTCACCTCTGCTCCGCCTGCTCCCCTGAACGCGCCGCAGCTCTGCTTCTCTGCCCTCCCTCGTTTGAGAGGGAGAGGGGAGAAGCGGAGTGGGGGCATGCCTGGGGGAGCAGGTGGAGGGGGGGCACGCCCGGGGGAGCAGGCAGAGCGGAGGTGAGCTAGGGCGGGAGGTCATGGGGGGCCCGCAGGAAGCAATGGGGGGGGAGAAATATGGCACGCCGGGGGAGGAGGCGGTGCTGGGGATTTGGGGAAGGGATTCGGAAGGGGTGGAGTTGGGGTGGGGCCGGGGGCAGAGGAGCATGAAAAAGAAAGGGGAGGCGGCCAAAATTTTTTCTGCTTGGGGCAGCAAAAATCCTAGAGCCGGCCCTGCCCTCTCCAAGGGTTGCAGCTGTCTGGAGGTGCCTGCCTTCCACGCCTTCCTCATTCACACCTCATTCATTCAACAGGGCAATTGATTACAAAGTGGGGGGAAGATCTTGTTGGGGTTACTATGCCTGCCTGAGCCAGAGTTCTTCTATGTTTAAACTCTGTCCTTCCATGTTTAACTCTGATCGA